TGCCAAGACTGGAAAATATGACTTTTACTGTGAGTCACAGCCACTCACCCTGGAAGAGACGTCCTCTATGCTACCTTACTGCACGTCTTGCCAATACCTCCACTGGTTCCACTCCCAAAGGTGCTCCTGCCAGCCTGCGTGGGGCACGCAGAGCCCCATGGTACACCTCCTCATGTGGGGGCTCATTCCCCTGAACTCAGAAACATACCCTCAAGAGCAATCGCATCCTGAAATAGTCTTATCAAGCAGGTTCCTCTGAAGCCCTAAGGGTTCCAGCTGATGTAGCTAATTAACATTTTGGGAATGCCAGTGAAGTAACAATATTTTTCTCCAAGAAAACAAAACAAAAACAAAAACAAAGGCATTAGGACCTAATATGCTTTTTCATTTTTCTTCCAATGTCAATAGCAGGAGCACGAAAACACTTAACTAGATACCATGGCCCCTAAAGTTGGTGCTACAGATAATAAACCGACTGCCCAGTCCCTCTGGGTGGTCAGGGAGCACTGTGCAATCTCTCTTCACCCAGCAGCACCTAGTGTGGAGCCTTGAACATGAAGGTATTCTGCAGACTCTTATCTGGTAGATCAACGAGTGAAACTCTACATTTGAATGAGACCAAGTAGTAAAGGCATCCTTACACCTAAGTTGAATTTATCTTTTTAAAAAGAACCTCAGTTATTCTGTCCCCCACTCAGGGGACTCTTAATCACCTACATCTGTTGTCATCGGGGGCCAAATTCATTTGACAGGTACCAGGCAGGGTACATGGTAGCACTGGGAACATTCCGGCTCTTGTACTGGGTGATGGGTTCATTGTATTCATTTTATTATTATATTTCAGAGCTTATGAGTACAAGTTAAATATTTTGGTATGTTTTAATATAACTGATAAATCCAAAATTACAATTGTTTTTCAGTGATTCGGAGCGGGGCTGTTAAGAGATATTCAAATCTTGCTGAGGAACAGATCATATTTGAGATGACAAATACATTTGAGACTGTTATAAAATTTGACTGCTAAACATGCATATAAAAAATAACTTAAGGGAACCACTAAAAAAATAGAAGCACAACTCATAGCTTTTAAAACAGAAAATAAAAAAGGTAACTCTGAAAACTCAATTTGACAAAAAACAGAAGAAAAAAGAAAAAGGATAATAAAACAGAAAACACAAAATAAGAATAATTATATCAGTAATCACATGCAATGTAACCAGAATGAACTCCCTTATTAGAAGACAGACTATCAGAATAGGTTTTAGAAAAATACAGCTATATGCTGCTAGCAAGAGGCGTATTAAATGTAAAGTTATAAAGAAAGCTGAAAATAAAAAGACAGAAAAAGATAAACCAGGAAAACCAAGATTAACCATGAAAAACTGGTCTGGCATTACCAATAGATAAACAGAATTTAAGGGAAAAGTTTAAAAAGGGAAGCTATATAATAAAAAGGATAGTCACCAAGAATATATACAATTAAGAACACACATTAATACAACGGACTCAAAATATTAGCAAATATTAACAGATACTGATAATGACATATCCACTGCCATAGAAACTAACAGATCACAGTCAAAAACTTAAGATAAAGGTGTTTTGAATAGATCAATAAAGTTAGATTAATTCATGAACAGAGAACCCTGTATTCGACAGAGATACATTTTTTAAAAGGCTTTTTATAGAATATTAATTTCAAAATTGTCTACATTATTAGCCACCAAACAAGTTGCGACAAGTATTAAAGAATCAGTAACAAAGACATCGAAACAATTCAGTAGAGGAGGGAATGTATAGTCTTCTCAACAAGTGGAGCTGGAACAACTGGATATCAATATAGGGGGAAAATGAGCCTTAACCTCTATATCATACGATACACAAAACTGAACTTGAGATGAATTATAAATCGAAAATTAAAAGCTAAAACAATGTTTTCAGAAAACAAATTATCTTCTCAACTTGGAAAGTAGGTAATGATTCTTAGAACACAGAAAGCAATGACCATAAAAGTGATGAATTAGACATCAAAATTTAAAATTTTGCACAAAAGCCAGATGTATGAAAATAAATCGAAGAGCTACAAATTGGGAGAAAATATTCTCAAAATCTGATAACAGGACTTGTAATAAGAATATATAAAGAACCCCTACAACTCAATAAATTAAAAATAGATAAAAGACTGAACTAAGCATTCACAAAAGAAGGTAAAGGAAAGGCCAATAAATTTTAGAAAGCGTTCAATATTATTAGTCGTGGAGAAATGGAAATTTAAATAACCATGAGATAGTACTACTCACCTACTAGATTAACTCAAAAAAACTGAAACATTTAATATTACCAAAGATTTGGAGTATTCAGAATGCCTGTGTTGCTTGCAGGAGTGTAAAATGGTGCAACTACTTGAGAAAAGATCTGGAAGAACATTACCTTATAAAACTAAACACTGTTATTTAGGAGGTTGTAACAATACAATTAGGCAAATAAGATAAAAGGTATTTAGATGAAGAAAAGTTTTGACATGATCTCGTACATAGAAAATCCTAAGAAATCTATAAAAAACTAAGAGCTAATAAGAGTTCAGCAAGGTTGCAGAATATAAGATCAATATGCGAAAATAAATTGTATTTCTATGCACCGGAAATGAACAGCCCAAAAACAAAATTAAGGAAACAATTCCATTTGCCATAGCATCAAAAAGATTATTATTTCAGGAATAAATGTAACAAAAATATAAAAGATACATACTGAAAACTACAAAACACTGTTGAAAGAAGCTAAAGAAAAAACGAAATAAATGGAAAGACATCTTATGTTAATGGATTGGAGGAAAAAATTGTTAACATAGTAATAATCCCCAAATTGATGTACATATTTATTGCAATCACTATCAAAATCCCAGCTGTCCTCCCACCTCTCAGAACAAATAAGCTGGTGCTAAAGTTCATTTGAAGATGCAAGGAACAAAGATAGCCAAAATTATCTTGAACATTGAGAAGCTGGGTGACTCACACTTCAAAGCTATAGTAATCAAGACAGTGTAGTACTGGCATATGTCAGAGATATCAATTGAATACAACCAGGAATCTAGAAATAATCCCTCACAATTATGGTCAGCTGAATTTTGACAAAGGTGCCAAGACAATTCAACAGACTTTTTTTTTTTTAAACAAAAGTTGCTGGGACAACTAGATATCTACATGCAAAATAATGAAGCTCTACCTCATACCATATACAAGAACTCAAAATGGATCAGAGAACTAAAATGATAAAACTCTTAGAAGAAAACGGAGTAAATCTTTGTGACTTTATATCAGGCAATAGATTCTTAGATATGACACCAAATAATGTTAAAAATTAGAGAATGATGCCTACACCCTGATACCTTACAAATAAAGCTTAAAATATTCAAAACAAAATTATGAATAGATGCACATACATGTAGAATATACAAATATCATAATCTCTGAATAGTGGTTACTTTTAGGGAGGAGAGGAACGGAGGGCAAAGGGATAAATAAGAGTTTAAACAGTACTGTTTCTTTAAAAATTCAAATAAGGTATACTGTTATATCTGATCAAAGTGGGTATGGGTATACACATGTACCTTTATGAATATTTGAAACTTTACAATTTGACAAATTACATTTTTAAAAGAATGAGGCATCCTTATCATGAGCATTCACTGCCAGTAAGCACAGGGCAAAAATGAAAGTAAATTAAACTAACTGATCTAAAACTACACACATCCCAAGAAATATTCTTGAAATTACTTTGGGAATAGTGTCATTCAATCTTTTGTCATTGCCTTTATTCAAAATGAACTACAAAGGATGTGTACTCAGAATGATTACTGGAATTTTCCACTTGTTTGTATTCTATACAGACAGTTGTGGCTTATGTTTATTTTAGTAACTTTTTTTTCTCTCTCTCTGCTCCTAAATTTGTTTTCATCAAATTTTCCCAAGCTTAAATCTTCGTTTTTTTTCCCTTCCCCTGGATTTGCATTTCCTTTTCCAAGCAACAGTAAAACATTATTTTCTTTTCCATTTGCTCATAAATCAAACAGCACATTTCCTTGCTTTTTTCACTTTCATCTCCATGTTGGTTGGTTTACATCTTTTCTGTATCTTCACTCATCCCAAGTGCAGGACGAGCTGCCAGGTGCTAACCAGACACAGTTTTCATAGAGAGGAGGTTCGCTCATATAGGCCTACGAGGATGACGTACATGCAGAGGGAGATTTAACAATTATTTAAAAGGGTACAGACCCCTTTCACATACGTTTCTCTGAAGGGGCCACAGGGAACTGGAGGGGCTGTAGGGAGGACACACTGTTCCCTCCATGTTACAGAGCCCAGAAGGCTGCTTTGCTCAGGTCACACAGGACAAGAAAGGGGTACCTTTTGTCCTCTTCTCTTCCCAGCCAACAACAGTTATCATTTACTGAGCACTTTCCACTGCCAGCCAGATTTCTAGGCACTCGCTGCTCTTCCATTTAACTCATAATTCCCATGGGAGAGGCATTATCTTCTCCACTTTACAGAGCACTGGGTAGGGAAATGAAGCAATACATGCAAGGTCACACAGCCAGGATTCATGCCCAACTGTGGCTCACGGCAAAGCCCTGTCTTTTACCACACATCCCCTTTCCTTTACCTTTCAGGTTGCAGCAGGAGATGGAACAGACAGACTAGTTTTTTGGTCAAAGAGTCGTTCTCCTTCACAATCCACCATGCAATCTACCTATTACGCTCATACTCAAGATGGGGCAATGTCTAAATCTTCAAGAAAACAATTCGATTCCTCGAGTATGACATTAATAAAAGCAAGTGTTTACACACAGAAACACACACATATGTGTATACACCAAGTATTATGTACAGGTGTGTATAGAGGGGCGAGGGTGGCTATCTGCTGTGTACCAGAAGGGCCCCAGACGGCACTCATGTGACCATGTGCTTTGGAAATGAAGCCCCTACCGAGTGAGGGAGGCGTACCTGAATAGGATCCTGTGTCAGTCTCATGGGCCCAATGCGTACCTCCGCAGAAGAAACCTGCCAAATAAAGGACAGCACATGAGATGTGTCAAGTCTGAAACTACAAGAATTGGCAAATTCTCCCTTATACTGGTATTACATATGTCACTTTGCAGATGCTAAATATAAAGATCCAACTTATTGACCTGGAGACAGTTTACAAAACACCATGTACAGTATAATCTTGGTTTTATAAAATACATATACATTTACATGCACTGAAAATGCTAAGTGGTAAGATTTCAGGTTATTTTTACTTTAAGTGCATGGGCGAAAACAACTCAAGTCAATAATTACTTACCGAGCACCTACTATGTGCTGGGCACCATGCTGGGCTGTTACTCTGAAATTTCAAGAGTAAAAATTTTTCTCAAATGTGGGAGCTAATGCATTTTTATAGTTTTTAGAGCTGTTCCTGTATTTAGATTTTATTTTTGTTCATGTTTTAGTATGAGGAATAAACAGCCTACTCTTATCCATGCTTACCATGAATAAATTATTCATCGCAGGGATATCTCCTCAGATAAACACTACACCATAACAGCAAGAGGCTGAATTGTGACCCACAACTCCAGGAATGAGCTGAGGCGTCCACTGGCCAGCACCAACTAACTGCCTTTGGCTGCGAGCACAGAGCCAATGTGAGCGTTTTTAATTACTTGGATTTCTAAAAGTGATTTTCCTCTAGACAATTGCATTGAATGTCTTGGGCTTCACCTCCACGGATCTAATTTTGTTTTCCTCCAAGAGGTTGCAGTCATTTTGCCACTACTTGGAAGCTTATCCCACATTCTATGTACTACATTGGCCCCTGTCAGTCAGATGGGCAACTTCAGCAAGCATCAGAATTCTCAGGACCAGAGACACCACAACGACCCAAGGGCTAGAGGAGGCTTTCTCAGTTAAAAAAAAAAAAAAAAAGAGGAAAAGCAGCACCTTGTATGCTTTTGAAGACTAAAAGATCGACCTCTTTTCTTCCCTTTTCCCCATGCTTAACTCCTGATGGTGTGATTCTTCTCCAAAACATCGCCACAAATTATGGACATTCTTTTTCTCTGTAAGGTTGATTCCCCCTCACCACACCCCTGCATCATCTTTGAAAAAAATGATACTGGGGTCTTTGGCCTCTCACCAAGCCAGCCAGCAGAAAACTCAAAGAGCCTTCTGATGACACTCATTGAAGGCTCTTGGCCTCCGTAATGGATTCTCAGGAGAGCAAAGCTTCTTTTGCCTGATGTTCTTGGCAAGGCGGCCTCCCAACAGTGGGTCCTTCCAGCAGGCCAGGCCTAAAACCAACTTGGAGCCTATGGACCAGCAACAAATTCTTTCAGTGTTTCACCGCTATCTTCAGGTAAAACTGACACATCAAGTTGTATGCGTCTCTCTCACGTTTCTTTTTTTTCTCTAAGCAAGGTCCTACAAGGCGTTTGTGCCGATACCAGTATCCAGCCTACATGCATGGCCCCAAGAATAATTCCACTGGAAGAGGGCCTCCTGTATCCCTGGGCCCTGGCCCTCAACCCAGCTCCAATCTCAAAACAGTTCTTATTGTGTGAAACTGACACTCTCCTTTAAAAACAGTGCAATGGCCAGAATTTTTCTAAAAGTTAATGGTTAAGAAGTGAAATGAATTTGGTACAGAAAGGCAGATTTGATTGATAATCTGGGATATCTTTTCACTCTCCCTGTGATCTCTCTTGGGTTCACTGTATCCACCACATACAGAAGTCCCCCTCACACCTTCACAAGGCCACCTTTCTCTGCCAAAAATGGCTCCCAAAGGGGTCACCCAGGGGCAGAAAATAAACAAATGAAATAAGAAATCATTAAAGCTTAAAAGGAATAAAGTAAAAAGTGAAGGCTGAGACTTGGGGAAGCGCTTCTGCTAGAAGGGCACAGACTGTCCAAAAAAATAATAATTCACTCCTAACCGATACATTCCTATATACTTTGTAAGAAGCCAATATGTGCATGAAGTAGTTGCATAGGCCATTTTAAACTGCCAGGAGGACATCTGACGACTGTATGAATGCTTCCTAAGCCCCCTTGTGTCTCAAGAATTGTGCTAGGCACTTGCACACGTGTGATTTTAGCAGGAGACAGGCAATGGACACCGAATGACAACATGGAGTTTGAAAAGCAACACTCAGTCTAGAAGATATTCTTTTCTTGCCCAAAGACAGGAAAGATCCTATAACTTTCTCCCATAGCCACAGGAGTTCACTGCCTGCATCCAGCATTTTTATCTCTGCCTGACTCAGCTTAGCAGGAAGCTGCCACTTGAGGCAAAGCCCGCGAGAGGAGCCTCAAATCTGGTGGACCCTCTCCAAGACCCCTGCCTCTCCCATCTCTACCCATCTCCTCCCAGACCCACTTCAAACATCCCCTGCCAGCTTGGGGGCCACACTCTGCTTGTCTCTTGGCTTGCCTTTTCCCTCTTACTCTGTGCTCCCAGTCATCTGACTGTGGCTTCTGTGTCCAAGAGAGGACAACTATCCCAACAGAACCCCAGAGCCTCTCCTCACTGGATCTGAGAGCTGGCACAAGGCAATAATCAGCAGGAGAAAATCTGCAGCAGGTAAATTCGGACAGCAGTTGGCAGAGTTCTGTTTGACAAAGGCGTCTTACTGCCTGCATTTCACCAATTTGTAAGAGCAATTATGAACAGAAACAGGAGTCCATTTACTGATGTCTGTGTAGCCAAGCCAAGATTCTCTACTTCAAAGAGTGAACTTTGAGCAACTGCAGATGCACAGATCCTCAATTAGTATATTAGCCTTGATTCCAGGAAGTGACCAAGTTTGCTAGGAACACAAAAGCAAGAAAGGGTGGGTGATAGGTAGCACAATTCCAGATCTCGAGAGGAAAGCAGGATAGAACAACTGTAAAAAGAGACAAGCTCCTAGCCTCTCTGACCACATGGCTTTCACCAGCAGCCTAATGAGGAAGGACTAATGACCAACGGTAGTTTTAATCATCTAACATTTACAGTGTCAAATATTTGTGTGTACATGGCAACATATACACATAGATATATACATGTAGCAGGGTCACCGATTCACATTCAGAGGAACTGGCTCTTTAGGAGAAAAAAAGTCCTATTTTGTAGCATTTGCTGATTCTATGGTATAAATACTTTCACCTTAGCTGAGCTCAAGCCAGCAACATGTCCTTGAATGCGCGACTGGGAATATATCTTTTTATTCAAAAAGGGTCTATGAGTGGCAAACTCAGTCTTTGTTGATCTGCAAATGTCTATCACTCGCTTTTGTTTGATATTTTAGCAACATACAGAATCCCGACAGACATTTTCCTCAGACTTCGAAGTTGAAAGGAGATAATATTTCTGGTTTTGAAGGTGGGGAGATTGAGGAAGGCTTCAGGAAGACCAGTAGATCATGAAGAATAGGAAGACAGAGAGACTGGGCTAGGGAA